GTTTTTGCATGCATTCAAGAGCAGTTCTGTATCTCTGTTACTGCCATGAAAGTGGGGATATCGCTTGTGCGGCTGATTGTTAGATCTAGCCGCATCAGGCAACTTCAAACCAATCTCGCTCATTCCCATATTGCCTATGCTAAAAGAAAAGTCGGTGTGCCAGAAGCTTACGAGGCATGTTACATGGCATGCTTTGATATCTCCAGCCAGCACGGGCTTCGTGGGAGTCACTTAACTAATGCGGAAATCCTGAGCGTTTGAGATAGTATATCCAAGCCATGGGTGTTGGCCAGGTAGCGCTGATGGACTACTTTAGCTATAAAAGGCATTGGACTCTGTCCGGCACAACTGGACGCTGGCAGCACCGAGATCCCACGGGTTGGCAATCCCATGACTATTCCACTACCCTCAGCGGATTCACAATGTAGAGAGAGCTAAAACTCGAGAGGCGCCGCTCTCCCCGATAGCCATGTGTGTACCAGGGCTCGTTCATGGATCTCATTTTGTTTGGTTCAGTATGAAAATGACCGTAATCGTCCTGCTGGTGCCGCGCAGCTTTTTCAGCGCGCTGATGATAACTGGCATGCACTTGCCGCGGGAGACCCACACAATTCAGACGAGCTTGTTAAAGTCATGGACGATGCCCTCAAATTACTGCGCAAGTAATCCGTGTGCAGACAGATCAAGGGAACCCATCCCAGGTAATAACAGGCTCTTTGGAAGATATCAGCGCATCAGAAGCCTACCCGGGTAAGTCCGTTTTGATGATCGGCACAGCACCGCAGTGACGGAGGTGGAATAACCTGGGTGTTACTTTTGTATTACACCCTTTCTTGGACATGACAACTTCATGCGATTGTGCAGAAGAGCAGACCGATTCTAGTGGTGCTATGACGGACGTCACGTGCTATCACGTTATGACGTCATCACCAGCTGATGCCAAAAAGCTTTTAATATGCCAAACTGTTCAATTACCAGTGCTACCAAATATGATTTAATACATGACACGTTACCCGTATTCCAAGATTTTTAGCTGTGGAAGCTAAATTTTCACTTGTAATCTGCGCGTTGCGCGGAGACATTGATTGATATAATCCCCGGGGGATCACATCCCGCGGCAAACTAGAGGGTTCAGGTATGTGGTGGTCTGAGGGGTCAGGTATGAATTGCGTCATTTGTATGACAATTGATGCTTAAAATATGTTCAACCCCTGGATTGCATATGGAGCAGAAAATCTTACACATATTTTAGCATAGAAGGTAAGAATTGAGGATGAATGCACCATGTAAAATCTGCTAGCTCCTGGCTGAGATTTAGCAAAATTTAGTTCATAACTTTAAGATCAACAGTATTGCTTTGCTGCTCAGAAATTACGATAATAAACTTCGTGCTGATTTTGAAAAAAATGTTATGCTTATATAGCACGTCACTCATGTTGACACTCCGAAATGGTGTGATGAGTTGTGTGGGGCTTGCTGTGTTTCCTCATGTTACCATTTTGATTTTAGTGATATGACTCACCGGTTCAAGATGATTAAAAATGATCGGCTCGCGATTCGACTCATGAAATTTACGTAGAATGTGACTCAGCCGATGACTCAAAGCGGCATTTTTCTTATCGAGCCGACTCAGCTCGCGACTCACCCCAAAACGATTGACTCATGAGACGATTTATGATTCAGATCGAATCAAACACAAATCTGCTGCCAGTTGAGCTGGCTCTTCAGTGGCCATACGATTGCACCTCTGTGCGCCTACTCGATGCTAAATGAGCTTACTCACGCTGAGCTGGCCTAGCCACCTCTGATCAGCACTGGCGCGCATGTCACTCTAATCGCGCAGCGCGGGAACCTGTTTTGACTCCTAGCTCGTCACAGAGCGATCCGATGAGATGAGTTTAAGGTATCCTGGCGGAAACAATTGTCGGCGCACATGTTAGCCTATGTCTAGTTCAGCTGTCCAGTTCAGTTTAGTTCAGTTCGGCTGCCTGCTGACCGAAAGATGCGGGTCGAATAAAACGGATCTTTGCTGTGCTTGTTTGTGAGAAATGCAATTGCAATTTGTAATCCTTGTTGCTAAAGCACGGTAAGTTCATGACATGCTTGCGACTAATGCTGGCTTATCGCTATTACCAGAACTGTAATCCGCGTTAAATAATTGACATGCCATCACCGACGGCACGACTGAGCTGGCTGTTGGGAGCATGGTTACCTACGAGTGAATGCACTTGACTGGCGCTTGGCAGGTGCAGAAGGCCAACTGTCAGGTTTAGTGCAGTCTAGTCCACATTGCTTGCTGTATACCCCATGGTTTTGAGTAGTAAGTGCCAGGTAAAATGTGCTAGTCTAGACTCGAGAATTGAGAGAGCTTATTGGTGACAGGCTACAGGAAAGATACTGTTTGCTGCACTGCATTTTCTTGGCTCAAACTACAAACTTGCTAGAGGGCCATGTGTACCTATTTTCCAATGATGATTTCTCTCTCTCTCTCTCTCTCTCTCTCTCTCTCTCTCTCTCTCTCTCTCTCTCTCTCTCTCTCTCTCTCTCTCTCTCTCTCTCACACTAGCATATATATATATATATATATATATATATATATATATATATATATATCGGTTCTTTGATTTTGCAAGCTTGTTTAGTCATGAGCCTAGTTATTCAACGCAAGCAATGAGTCTAAATTGAGATGAATCGACAACATTGAAACGGCTAGTCATCATGAGTCATGGGCTGAATTGGATAACAAAATCCGTGAGCTGGTCCCGAGCCGGCTCAAAAGATCAGAGTCGAACACGAGTCAGACTAGCAACGCTGTTGCAATCAACCTGTGTCGCGCATGACATTCACATGATGGGCGTCTGCTTCGCCACACGAGCGAACTGCAGCAGATGTGGGACGCTTTTCGTTCAGAGGCACAGCAGCTTGGAACAGTGCCCTCAGAAGAACAACAGGCTTAAAATGTGTGTCCATTGAAACGAACGGGGAAAATTATTAACAGTGAGGGCATCTTCCAAATTGTATTTGGGGAAAACTTAAGCGGGAATGTCTCAAATGCTGCGCAGTGGAGCGTTTATGATCTATTTTATATTTACCGAAATGCATTTGTTTTGTTGATGAAGTTGTTGTGTCTCGACAACGCGTGCGTAAACGTGTTGGGGTAGCTACATATTTTGTGGACGCTCCATTCTCGTGAATGCATAACTGAATGACGAACTAACTGAATACATAATGGTGAATTGTACATGAGGACTGCCTTTTAAACATAACAACTAAGGTCTTAAACCATTCAGTTGAGCTGAGAGCCCACTGAACCATTAAAAATTGGAAGGTGCCAGCGAAGCATTCCATGCAGTCATTTGATGCAAGCTTCCTTTAGTTTATTGACTTCAATATTGCAGTGTGTCTTCCGGGGCGTCCTCGCTTCTGAAGCAGCTAAATAAGGTAAAAATAGCAAGACAGCGAAGGAAGTCGTACTCCTTGGAATCAAGCAGGCCATATCCTATGATTTTGAGGACGTATAGGGGTGGGTGGGGGTTTTAACATCAGGAGGTTCGTTGTCAATCTCGTGCCCTCGTCCCTTACCAAGGCTTTGGTTGTGCCCCTAGTAGCAGGCTACTAAAAGTTGAAAATATAGGAGTATCAATTTGGGCAAGAATTGCTTGTCGCACCAGTTGTGAAATTGAAGTTTTTCAGCACGATCTCCCCGCGTGAAAATGACCCCACGTGATTCACTTACAAACGACAAAAACCAAATCCGGACACATAGGTTATGTACCTCTATTGTCTTGGAGTCTGGAGGGCGCCATTCCTATTGCACCCTTCAGCATTCGCGATTATGATGGTGCAAACCGCAAGGGTTGATACAGAGGGAGACCACACTTTGAAAGCTTATCCAACTTCCTACTCTTGCACCACGTGACAAATGACATTTGCACTTTCCCATCGCCGGAGGCAAGGTAAGCTTTATCGAAAGTGCATGGCTTTGAGAAGACCGGTATTGATCCATTATTTCAATTAAGGCTGAACGAATTCAGTGCTCACCACTCGCACGACTCTTATCACGCGCTTAATGCGGCATCTATCGGTGAAACCAGACACTGAAGCTTGGTCACTCGAGCAGTCAGGTTTGTTCACCTAAAGGCATTGCGGTCGCAACGGCCAGACTTATGTGTGCTTGATATTCGATATTAGTTGTGGCTTGGCTGGTGCCACTCATTCGGACTGTACAATTTCACAGCCGACAGATTGTATCAGCGTTCTGGCCCATGCCGCAAGAATACTGCCTTTACCTCCGACTTTTTTCGTTGATGTTGGCGAGCCGTTCAGGAGACGGAAAGGAGAGGGCGCGTAATGCCAATGTGTCGCGCACTATACTAATAGTAATAGTAATATTACTGCTACTACTAAGTAGCAACAACAACAATGGTAATAACACTACTACTACTACTACTACTACTACTACTACTAATAATAATAATCATCATCATCATAATGAGCATGATTTTGTTGGAGGGTGCAAGACGTGGACAACATTCGGGTTGCAACGCACCATGAGGAGAGCCTTCACCTGTACCACCCTGTCATCGGCCGGAGATGCATCTACCGCGCAGAACCGGAATCACGGTACCCACTGACGCCCATGCAGTCGGAGTTTGCCGTACACAATTTTGCGGCCAAGCTGCAGCCAGACCCTACCTCACCCGCACTCATGTCACGCGTACGTTCAGTGGAAGTCCATGGCAGCGGGCCGCCAGCTTGCTTACCTCGCAGTCGTATATATCACAGCTCGGTCACCGTGCTCACAAAGCCCTAGGCATCTATTACGTGCCCAAGAAGGTAACGTTAAGCAAGCTGTTGCCAGCATACTGTCCGCACTTCGTAACGCGAGTTTAGGCTAATGCTACACTTCAACAACCAATCAAGGTAGTCACAGCGTTCCTTAGGCCAAATGTCATCAGTCAACAGCTGTACGAATTCGTTGATAGATTTGAAACGCCTGGTTTCTTGACCACGCATGTAGTAACAGCCCACAAACCAGCATCTCACACGCGTCTTATCCGCATACTACAGCGGTCCATCATAAACCAGTCACACATTGCACAGTATCCACCAACACCTCGGTAAGCATGACCAGCTACGACCTCTCCCCATCAGAGCCGGACGGCGCTGACTCCGCCTCCGCTCCCGTGTTCCCCGGGGCAGCCTCATCGGCCCCGCCCTCCTCGGCCCCGCCAGGGCCGGCCACGCCTCGGTGTGGCGGCAGGCGGCCGTGCGCAGGGACCCGGTGCAGGTGCCGCGCGTACAGGCTGGACGCGCCGTCCACTCGGAGCGTGGCGCCGCTCACGTACGACGCCCCCGGCGAGAGGAGGAAGCACGCGGCGGCGGCCACCTCGTGCGTCGTGCCGCAGCGCCGCGCCGGCACCTCGGCCGTGAACTGGCCGAACACGTCCACCGAGTAGTTGGCGGCCGCCGTCGGCGAGTAGATGATGCCCGGCGCGACAGCGTTGACACGCACGCCGTCCTGCGCCCACTCGACGGCTAGCGTCCGCGTCAGGTTCTCGACGGCGGCGCGGCTGGCGCCCGTGTGCGCCATCATCGGGAAGCCGCGGAACATGTCGGCGATGATGTTCACCACGCTGCCACCGTGCTGGCGCATCCAGGCGCGGTGCGCCGCCTGCGTCAGCGTGAACGTGCCGGTGAGGTTGGTCTCCACGACCGCGTGCCAGCCGCGGCGCGTGATATCGGCGGCCGCGCTCAGGAACTGACCACCGCCGTTGTTGACGAGGAGGTCGAGACGGTGGTGGCGCTCGAGCACCGTCGCCACCAGTCGCGTGACGTCATCCTCCTTGCGGATGTCGCAGGTGGCGAAGTCGCAGCAGCCGGGGCCGGCGGCCGCGAGCGCGGCGGCAGTGGCGCGGAGCGGCGCCTCGCGCCGCGCAGCAATCGTCACCGTCGCGCCGAGTTCGACCAGCTGCCGCGAGATGGCGCGGCCGATGCCAGTGCCGCCGCCGGTGACCAGCGCCACCTGGCCGGCGAAGAGACCCGGGCGGAAGACGCCGGCCATCGCGCCGGCTGACGGCGGGGAGACGGCGAAAGCTTGGGGCCGGTGTACCGGTGCTGCAGATCCACCGGCGTGAGCTACCGGTACTGGGGTTAGTGGATCATCGCTGCGTCACACGACGTGAGAGCGGGAGCTCCTGCCAGTGGTGTAGAAACAGGGTCACAGGCGGTAGGGTTGTAGCGAACGGGGTTATAGGCGCGTGTGGGTACCTGGTCTTGTGAGAGTGCCATGTTTACCATGTTTCCAGTGAATGTATGTGCACAGACAGCGAAGGAGTTCGCGACTTAGGAGGACAGGAGGGGCTGGGGGGGGGGGGGGGGGGAGGGGGGAGCTGATGAATGAGCTCTGTCAACAAGCAGGGGATCAGTGGGTCTGCCTCTGTGGACTGGTATGTTGTCACAGATATGGACCATGTGAAGATGGTGGTGGAACAGAAATTGATGCAAACAATTAGGTGTCTCACATTGGAACTGTTTTGTATTTCACTTCTGAATTTTTTGCAGCTGCCATGCCACAGCCAACTGAACACCATTTGTATATCATGTTCTGCATACTTAAATAGCAAATGCCCATTTTTTAACCTGTTATGTGTCAATAAGTTGTTTTGGTAGATCAGTTTGAGAGGTCCTTACCCACAGCACTAGTAAAGTGGGGGATGTTGTGGCACCAGAACACCATGAGGGATGAGGATGAATGATGAGGATTATGAGGGATAAGTTAGGCGGCAAATAACCAATCAAAACCATCACCCAGCACAGATCTGATCTAAGCCAGCATAATGCTAGCATTTGCCTGGTCCTAAAGCTGGGTCACAAATGCAGCCTCACCTCCCATTCTAAATTGTGCATGTTTACCAGTCTAGATCCTTTACACCAAGAAGGTATATTGCACAGTGAGGGATGGGAAGATGGGTCACAGATGTGTTGTTTTCATAAAACTCATGCCAAAGCTCCAGAGGATGAAGGGATGTACCCCTCAGGACATAAACAAATGGACTTTATGCCCTTACATGTGCATTAGAATATTTGTCTTCCAAATGTATGTTGGCAGCTGGTACACTTTCACCAAAGCAGCAGGTTTCTTCAAGGAAAAATTGCTTGTGAAATGCTAGCAGCATGTTCCTATTTCAGCCCACACAACCGACACATTTTGTTTATTCTTACAAACAGGGTTTCTATAACAGTGAAATGTAAGACATGTCCACAGTTTGCATAGTCCAGTCTCCCCTGCTTTACACAGCCTGCATTACCTAACCCACAGCACAACCTGTTGTACAAATACACACATTCTGACATGAACATGTATCAGGACACACACACACACTCAAACACATATATACCCTAACCCATGCCTCCCTCCCTCTCTCCCAGACAAGTCATAAAGCAATGCACAGCAAAATTGTTTGTGCACTGAAAATAATGCTGCTGTGGTTGACATTTTTCTTCAACTCTGCATTTGTGGTGGACGCATCTTTAACTACATCCTGTTACTGAAGGGAATAGGCCCCAATACCACTTCCATGTTCTAACTTATCAATAATCTGCAGCTATTGGAGATGCAATATACCCTTCACACTTCATAAGCGATCGCTACATTATGCTGACCAACCACGTTTCTAGTATCTACCCCAATAACGCCCCGGGTCCCCTTCGCCTACCAACTCATCTTGCCCTGCCTTGCCATAAGCATTTTACCCAAATTTCCCATTGTAAAAACCGGGCAGCACCAATGCGCAACGTACCGCGCTATAGACGTATATAATGCGCTAGTGATGTATAAACTTGTTGTTGCTGCCTAAATTGCCCTATCTTACAAATTTTACGGCATGGATCTCAAGGACGTGGCGGTGGCAGTGCAGTAGTGTGGTGGTAACAGACAAGGCTTCAAGGCGAAATACATGAGCGGCAGGAATTCTGAAATGGGGGGAATCGGCGCCTAATTGGGTGAAAATAATAAAACACCTCTATGCTGTGACATGGAAAAGGGAGTACCACACCAGCTGCATGTACTCCCCATCTTGTCAGATGCTATCGCCACTGGCATCCAGTACCAAAATTTAGGCCAGCCAGCTGACTGTTATCGGATGCTCCTCTTGGCCCCTGCTACATGACGATCGGCTATCGCCTATCACGGGGGCGCTGGGTACGTGCTGCGGTTGTTACTGACGAGGTAAGTAATGGCTGAGCCACTTCTGCATCACTTTCTTCTGGGGACCGGAACATTCGAGGAACAGTGGGGTCTGAGGTGGCAATGATGCCTTTTTGAGTAATGGGCGGCCCGGGTTTACTTTGCGCGGGGGGGGGGGCAGCTCGGTGAGAAAGTAAGGTACGTAATCACGCAGAATTTAAGCTTTTTGTCGGGAGCGACCCATGGCGAATTTGTGTTAAATTAAAGGGAGGAGGACTGCTCCTTGGCCGCGCTCGTGCTTCTGGGTGCGTCCTACCACTTCCATAAGGGGTCAAAGCAGGTTCGCTGGTTCAGTCTGACATGACAGCATTTTAATTTAAACACGTGTAGCAGCCATCTGTTACACTTAAATAAATGAAAAAAACATTTGGGCATAAGGTTTACTCCCCTTCCAACTCTACCTCAGGGGCAATTGTGTTCCAGGCCTCTACCCCCTCCCATTGGCTACTGGGCCCCTGCCCCCCCCCCCCCCCCCCCTCCAACTGGGAGCAGGAAGTTGGCCAAGTTAACAGAGAAACTTATTTTTGGCATATGTTGGGGTTGGCTTGGTCACTTGCTGCTCAGCCCAGCTCCCTTTCGTGGAAAACCACATCCATGCACTTATATAGTCAAAGCTAATTTTGCTGCTCAAAATGAACATTGTATTTTTGTGTGCTACTTTTGGGCAGGTGGGTAGTGCAGAACTGCAACTTTTTCCCATTGTTATCTACACAGTGAGAGCCACATGGACAAATCATGTACTTGGGAGTTAAACTTAATGTCACATGCTCCCAACAATCAAATAGAAAATAAAATCTGAAATGAGATTGATCCCTTTTTGTTGCAACTTTCCACTCTGCAAAAGGTAATAAGAGCATAAGTTATGTCTGTTTTTGGGGCAAATGGTAGAAGATCAACAGCCTGATTACTTTGGTGATATAGCATAATATCATTAAAAATACAGATGTAATCAAGGGGGCTGCAAAATAAGTTGCTATATCAATCAGATGCTGCTTTGCTAGTTGTTAATTATTTAACACTGGCTATTGGCATCATCATGTCTGGTACATAAGTGATTCAATTTAAATAGGCATGAAAGGCTCATGAGCATTCTGAGCTTGATTGCATTGGAGTTAAAGATGTGAAACACATGCACCAACCTGACACATTTCATCACAGGTGTCACATCCTGTCTGTTTCTCGCCAGAGCATGAACCCTGTGCTGCAAGAGCCGCAGATGTCAGCACCCAACAGGTGAGGATGTGTTTTTACGAGTACGTATGGCGTCTTTTGTAGCATTGTGTTACCACAGCGCACCCAATACACTGAGTTTGTTTGTCACCATGCTGTATTACCAGCTTTGCCGCCATGCATTCAAGCCAACCACCCATACATGATTTCTGATCAGCTAAATCTTGCCTTTGTCAATTTTTTTACATTGGTCATATCTATCAGGCCTCTTTGCATAAGCAGGTCTTTTATCATACAATCACAGCTGCATACTGGCCCAGCACTATCCCACTATCTGAAATGACTGGACCGACCTATCCATCACTATCTACACATTCATGATAGGTGTGTGAATGAGTGCATGAAAGAATGAATGAATGCATGAATAAATGTATGTATATATATGAATGAATGCAAGAAAAAAGAATGGATGGATGAATGAATGAAGCTTCATCGCCCATCTGCAGCTTGTTGTCATTCCATCTGGTGTTTCCGCCGGCCTAGCTATGATGACGCGGAGGCTGCAGTCTCCGTCAGGGCGGGTGTGATTCCTGGTTTTAGAGGCCGCGCGGCTGTTCGTGGAGCGCTAGCGGCTACCGTGGTCGAAAAGCACCCAGAGGCCATGGTGCCCGCCGGGAATCGAACCCAAGCCGGCCAGGCGGAGGCGGCGCACGCCCCCTTTGGAGCTCTCTCGTGCATGAATGGCTTTCTGACCCGAACGAGCCGTCCTCCTGTCACACCACTTAGGGCGCACTCTCCTCAGGGGGGGGGGGGGGGGGCGAGGAAGACGCGGAGGGCCGGTAACATTCTTCGCTTGGGCTCGATTCCCATCCAAGTCGGCGTATTTCCTCAAGAAGAGGAAGAACTTGCCGCCGAGTGGTCGTGTCATGGTCTTGAATAGCTCAGAAAAAGTCCCGAGTGCTATAGATGCCTAACGCGCCGGAACAAATTGAACCTGGCTCCGAACCACGCACGTGATGCGGTCATTGTTAAAGCAACCGATCAATTTAGCCAGGACTTCGACTTCAACGTTACTGTACCGGCAATTGATCTGACTTGAGCAAAAACAAAACAAAAATGTCAAAAAATCTTATAAGTATCCTCTGCGGGCTTCGTCGATCGGCTGTGTGCGATCCCAGCACTTGGCCTGTAGGTTAGGAAGCCGACTTAAGACGCCCGGCTACGAGTGGAGGACCGGGTGTTACAGTTCCGCTGCTGGAAGTTTTCACTGGCCCCGCGGTGCACCAGCGCATGACGGCACAAGCAACATCCGGCCGCATGCTTGGACAACTGACCGCCGTCCGTTCCTTCTGTGCCCAGCTTCGCCGCCGCGCAGTCGGAGCTGCGCGTGCGCAGTGCTCAAGTGAAGCGCGACATCCAGAGCGCGTGTGATACCGCTTTGCTGCGCCTGCGCGACAAGGAGAAGCGGCTGTTGCGCGTGGTGGACGCCGTCAGCAGCCTCCAGCAGGCGGACATCTGGGCCAGCAGCCTGGCGCAGCAGCAGCAGCAGCAGGCGGAAGGAGAGTGCAGCAGCCCGCCGTGAGTGTCTCAGGGTAGTGTCCTTTCCCCCTACCGGCTTTACGTGTATGTATGCGTTTTCGGCGGAACCGTGCTTCACAAACGTGAGCGCGGGTAGGTACGATCGCCCATATTGGCATGACGTATTTAAACGGCATGAATTTGTGGCGCCCGCAACAACTTGACACGTGACTGTCTGAACATGGGAGACGACTTGGACACCCAACAAAAGTTCCCAGCGCTTGCAAGGCACGTGACAAACGGGCAATCGTCCGGCAGGCAACCGCCTCCTTTGCGGAGGATGAGCCTGACTCTGGACGAAGCGATGCTGGAGCGAGCTGTCGAGCAGTTCGCCGCCGTCCGGCTCGAGGGACTGATGACGTCATCGGTGGGCACATCGTCGTTGCCCAACGGGTGAGTGGCGAGCGGGTGGATTGATGTGATCTGGATGGTGGAGTGACGTCACACGGAGCGTGGAGTGACGACATACCGGTGGAGTGGTGTCACACTGGCGGGTTTATGCGAGACTGATAATCAGGTTAGATGTACTGTTGATGCGCTGATGTGACTATGGTGTGAAAACGGCACCACCATCGTCCATCCCCGCATAACCGTAGCTGGACGTGACGTGGCAACAGTCCGCGCCCCTGCTGACCCCAGTCTGACCGCAGTCTGGAGGAGTACGGCGCCGAGGAGCACCTCGTGTCGCACAAGCCGCTTCCGGTTGACCCGGCGACAGTGCGGGTGACGCTGCCCCGGGCACTGCCCGGCTACGGCCAGGTGAGCCCGGCACCGCTCACCCCGCCCCGAGCAGCGGCAGGGTGGCATGGCTTCACGAGTGAAGCCATCCGCCACGTGCACCGCTCACGTGAAATCGAAGGCCTTTGAAGTGGAATGTGCCCGGTTGATGTGCACGTTGTAGGGGGACAAGACGCGCCGAGCTAATCAGCATATGGAAGCTGTACACATCTGCTGCCATATCAAGGCGGAAAAGTTCCATCTCCGGGGATGGAAGGTCCCGCGCTCGTTCGCTGTGATTTATTTCAAGTATGACGTCAGCAGCGACTGCTAGAATCAGTGATCTCGTCCATCTTGCGCAAAGAGCAGTTTCGGGAATAAATCTAGATGCTGAGCGGCCGGCTACTAATGCTGGACTTCGTCAGTAGGGGTGGCGTTTTGCATGCGCCACGCATGGTGTAGATAAATTACAACGTGTATCTAGTGGTGTAAGGCGTGTGCGACCACACTTTTTTTGCACGTGAGTGAAATCGTGTGGTGTGGCGTGCATTGATCTTCGTAAGGCAGCAAAGAAGCCAAAGTTATGAGATGCTACGCGCTTTTTGATGAAAGCGAATTACACAATAAATACATACAAAATACGCGACAGCATAAATACGAGCATGCTATGCGTTAAGAGTTTCATCTGTGTTCTCAAAAGCGAGTAAGACGTTGACAGTGCTGACGGCTCACCGTTTCCAGCACGGCCGAGATGCGACCTACGATCTGAGCTCACTGACATCAAGCGACGATGACGAGAAGTTCGAGTTGTTGGGAGACTCCAGTGAAGAGATGGGTTCGTCGCCCGTTGGCAAGGTGTGCACCAGCGGCCGCGTATGATGGATCTTTCCAATGTCCGAGCGTCGGAGATCTACCCCCCCCCCCCCCCCCTCTGCTCGCGGAGACTGTGCCGTCCTGCCGTTTGCCGACACTCTTGTGGCCACAGCCTGTTGGTGTGGAAACTAGCTGAAGCTGGGGTATCGAGTGCTGGATTC